TTTGGTGGAAATATTAATTTTGATAGAAAATCATCTCGAGCTTTAACCAAGGGGGAAAAAGCAAGACTTCATCTACTTCAAAAACAATTTGAAGTACGATTGAAGTACAGTGAAGTACGATTGAAGTACAGTGAAGTACGAGTGAAGTACGGTGAAGTACGTGAAGTATGAAGTCTCGCTTTTTCCCCCTTGAGGGGTACCCTTAGGTCCTCAAGTCCTACTTTTGAAAAAAATTTTTCTTTCGAAAAATTTTTTTTTATACAGAAATAGACTTTTTGAGAAAAAAAAAATTTTTTTGGGAACACCCAAAATTTTGTTCAAAAAAAATTTTTTTTTCGAAAAAAGTCTATTTTCGTATAAAAAAAAAATTTTCGAAAAAAAAATTTTTTTCAAAAGTAGGACTTGAGGACCTAGGGTACCCCTACGAGTGAAGTACGCGTGAAGTATAGTGAAGTACAGCTGAAGTACAAGTGAAGTACAAGTGAAGTACGGTGAAGTACGTGAAGTACGAAGTCTTGCTTTTTCCCCCTTGGCTTTAACACGTTTTCAAATATATATAAAAGATATACCAAAAAATATATCATCAAGTAAAATAGGTGAAATATGAATCAATTTTTTTTTGTTCTTATTGTGCAATAATCTCAATGCAATTTTCTTTCATGTTTATCTTTATCTGTAAATTTTTTATATTGTATTTACACATAAATAGTATCAACCTAAGATAATTAATAAACATTTTTTTTTTATAGAACTGAGAAAATAATGAATATAAAATTCTCAATTGATATTTTGCCTTTTTCTCCTGTTTCAATGACGAGGATCAATTTTAAAATCTTCCTCAAAATACGTTTGTAAATGATATTCTAAATAGTGCATTTTTGATTTTTACGCAGATAAAAATTTACATTTAAGGAGTTAAGAATGACAGGGAGGGATGCACTTTATCAAAATATCTGTATTTTTAAGAATCAAAGATTGACTAATGAATGATATGTTTTCATTTGTTTATGAAAACTTTTGATACAAAATATCCCATGTTCATTTAACTATGTATATGTTGCGCCAATATGTTTATACAGAAATCTTCGAATATAGTCGTTTGAACATAGAATGCATTGTTAAAGATCGTTTTCAATGATAATAATACGATTCGATTCGATCAGACAGATCTTATCTAATGATTTATTTTACATAAATAAAACAAAATCTGATTGAAATGTTATTTGTTTGATTTACTCTTATCATATGTGGACTGTTTTCAGTCTACAAAGTAAAAAAAAAATATCCGTGTGGGTATTTATTTGACAGTCACATCTAGAAATAATCCTTCGATGATTATAATATATTTTGCAATATTTACATCCTTGCTTATGAGTCTTTAAAATTTTTGAATGAAACTATAACATATCAGATAAATATTATTATTTATTTATTCGATTAAATATGCACAATTATACCGAAAAAAGAAATATAGTTACAATTAGCCATATTGATATGATTCTCTTTCATCTTCATACCCATTCTCAGCCTTATTTGTCTTCCATCGAACTGGAAGAACTAGTCGACATTGCATTATACTTAGGATGTGCATGCTTTGGTATATTCGAACTGTCTGTGTTGCTTTCATTTCTAAGCTTTGGAGGCAGACAGGAACTTTTTGGGTAGTCAAGTTTAGGTCTGTTCGAACCCTCTATTGGGTAGTCAAGCTTAGGACTTTCAAAGTCTGTCATTGGATAGCGATACTCAAGTTCACTACTGTCAATGGCAGCAGTCGACAGTGAATCTTGAAGTTTATTTCGAACTCCGAATTTCGGCATAGTTGTGACAGGGGTTGTAATTTGAAGTTGATGCATTCTATCATTTATGTTTGCAATATTATTTCTTGTCGAAATGATGTCTTGATGATCAGGTGGAAGTAATTTTTGTTTCATATTTAATGATTCTTGATAATATTTCAATGCACGATCGAGATTATTCAATTTTTCATATACTACTGCAATATTGTTCCATGTCATAGCAATATCAATATGATATAATGGTAAGAATCGTTGTTGAATTTTTAGTACATTTTCATAATATTGTAATGCACGTTGATATTCTCCAATTTCTGTATATATACTACCAATATTTGTAAGTGTTTTTGCTGTTTTTAAATGTTCTTTTCCATAACATGTTTCAAATATTTCCATAGCTTTCAAATATAATTTAAGTGCACGATCATATTGACCTTTTTGATGATAGACAAGACCTATATTTGTTAATGGTCTCGCTGAATCTTTCAATCGTTTTGGTTTAACATTGATCATTAAATCATAGGCATGTTCATAATATTCAAGTGCTTTCTCAAGATCACCTTTACTATGATATGCAGATCCAATTAGATTATTAATTCTTGCAATATCTTGATTTTGTACAGGATCATTATTTAATAATAAACTTTGAAAATATTTTAATGATTGATCATATTGTCCCATATCAATTAGTAATTTACCAAATATTAATTCAATACTAGTTTCTTCTTCCTCTTTTCTATTTAGTTCAACATATTCTTTAGCTATTTTTGATCCTTTATCACTAGCTTTCAATTTAATTAACCATAGATTTAAATGTTTATCTTCATTGATGGAAATTATTTCAAATGTTGATCCAAGATCGAATAAAACTTCTAATTCATCTGCATAATCACTAAATTGTGCAATATCAGCAAAAATAATTGATTCAGTTTTTTGAATATTACATTCAATTTCATATAGAACTGGAAAAACATTTGTACGTGTTGTCGATTTTGTAGCAAATTTAATTGCAAGTTGTTTTGAACGACTTGTTGATAGAAAACCATTTGTTGAAATTAAATTATGTTCATTTTGTTTTAGATTTTTGAGTTCTTCTTCTTCCATTTTTTGTCCACGATAAAGCATAACAATTTTTTCACCTTTATCTTTCAATTTTCGATATTCAACAACAAGATTAAATGATAGATCAACAATAAAAAATCGAAATATATGTAGTTGTTCAATATCTTCAGTTCTCAATGATTTATTTATAATTTTATATAGGAATGTCTCTTTCGTATACCATTTAATAGCCATATTCGATTGATAGTTCATTTTAAATTCATCAATCAATTTTAATTCTTTTTGATTTCCACGATAATAATGTTGACAAAATTCAATCATTTGTTGTTTCGAGCGATTATCTCTCGGTAATCGTAAAATAACATCTTTAAACATTTGAAACCATAGAAATTCAGCTGATTCTTTTGATAAATTTCTTATGGATTTTTCTTTATATTGATTATAAAAATTGAATGTTTGTAAGTGTTTTTCGACGAGAATAATATTTTCTTTAAGAGAATTTATTAAGTCATGACGTTTGGAATAAATTCCAATAAGTTTGGTAAATTTTTGTAACAGATGTTGATATTTTTCAGGTTTAAAACAAAAAATAAAAACTGAATCAACTTGTATCAATGAATTAACTTCTTTTAAAATGATTGTAGCATCTTGTCCCGATGTAATAAGAAATATTTTTTCATTTTTAATTGATTTAATATAATTAATACAAATTTGTAGATCAATATGAAACACAACACAATTATTGATTTCTCGTAATACATTCATCGTCTCTTTCGTATCATTAGTTTTATCAATATTCGAATCATACCAAATTAGTATAATACTTTCTAGATTTTGTTGTGGATCCAAAATTTTGTTTGTCATTGATAATGATATAGATGCTGGTAAATGTAAAGGTTCCTCCGTCGGATTGGTAAGAGCATGAAAAAACTTAGATTTATCGACGACTGTAATCTTGTTTGAAGCCGAACTAGCATGATCTTGCTGCTGTTGCTTCAAATTTTTACCATCATCTTTCAATGTCGTAGTCATTTTTTAAAATATATTTATCCACATTGGTGTTTTTGACAGCTTGTTGTTTTTAATGATTTAAAACAAAAAAAAAGAGAAACGTATCATATATTTTGAATTGATTTAATACTTTTTTTCTTTCGGATACCGAACAACATTAACGAAGTTATGGTTTTTTTTCATACACAAGTCTCTTTCTTTCCTTCTCTCAATGTATGAAAAAAACCTATACTTTTGGTTAATGTTGTTCGATGTCTGATAAATACAACCTTGTTGTTGAAACGTTACGATTAAAAATAAGTCGAAAAACGACCAAATCACATAAAATGACGTTTCTATTAAATCAAAATGAAGCATGCTGCTATAATAGGCCCATTATTCGTTTCTACCATATATTCGTTCTGACGCAAATGCAAGTAACCAAGAGCGACTTATAACGAAAGAGAAAAAAAGACAGAAAGAAAACAGACGCGAATAGCGAAAGCGATGTCAAGGCATGTGAGCAACATGCCTACAACAGCTGTGTCCGCTAAATGATCTTATAATTACTTTATCTGTTGTTTTCTTCTTATAGGAAATAAAGAAAGTCTTATGTACATTAAGTTTACTATTTATTCTTGATAGTGAAAAAATGACTTTGCCACTTTATATTTGAATGTATATCGTTAGATTTATATAATGGCAGCAATAAATATTCGATCATCGATAGATGATATTTTCGTTGAAAAATTAATTAGATGTCTTAGCTCATGTAAATGTCAAAGTTGACTCTGAAATTCAGTTGCCTTTAAAAGACAACCAGTTGATTCTAAAATTTGAAAGTCAACTAGATCGAAGGGTGTTGACTCTTAAATTCTGAAATCAGCTAATTCAGATTAAAATGTCGAAATATAAAATTCACAGCTACCAAATATCGACTGTTTTTATCAAAGTAATCAAGATTAATAGTGGAGAAGCAACACTCTACACAGAGTCAAATAGCATTTAATAACAAAGAGCTAGCAAACCATTCGTACATATTCGCTCGTCGATATCAGTCGTATAGATCTTATTCGATTCTTTATCATACATAGAACGTATAAGCTTATATTTCAGCTTGATAAATTTTCTTTTTTTTTTTTTTTTCTTCACTATCTAAACATTTCCTTCTCTTTCATTATCTTTAACAAGGAATCTGCCAGCTAGTGCAAGATGGTGAATCCACCATGCATTCAAGCAGAGACTCCTCACCCCGTCCTCGTCTTTCACATGGTACCCCACAACAACAGCAACAACGTCAAGGTGATAAATTACAATATGAAACATTTGATCTGAATGACATGATGGACAAGAACCAACGTGATCATCGTGATGTAAACGAAAAACGTCAACGGTCTGATTATCATCATCATATGAATCCGTGGGTAAATTACCCACCTCATTCATGTCCACGTTCATCTTATGTTAATGATTCATCCAGATTTAATCGGACCAACAACAATATACGTCCATTAATGGAATACAACAATCCGAATGACTCATAAAGTGATATACAAGTAAATACGTCCACAACGAATCGATTTAACAAGAAAAGAAAACAATGCATTACAGATGAACCAATGGAACATAGTTATGATGAATCACCAATATGTCAACCAGTATGTGATATTAATGTTAATTGTCCACAACCACATACAACAACATCAACATCAATTAATACATCGAAATTAATTACTGAAGAAGCAAAACGTTTTGCACAATCCCGCTATCCATACCCTCCTTTCACGTTATTATTTAAATCTTCAAAAATCAATGATAAGACGATCATCAACGAATTGATAAACTACTGCAAAGAAAATTATTCATGTGATCTTGATCTTGCTGGTTTTCGTACGTCTTCAAATCGATGCAACATCAACGAATGTAATTTATTAATATTTGTTAAAAATAGTCTATCATTTTCTTTTCTTTCAACTGATATAAAATGACCAGAAGCTTTTTGTGGTGCAGCATTTACAATTGAACGTCAACCAGTTATTCCTCCACAGCTAGCAGTCATTATTTCAAATGTTAGTTATACAACAAACATATTGGAATTTGAAAAGGACATTAAAACAAGATATGACAATATTGTTAAAGTTGTTCGATTAAAAAACAAGAATCAATATGATACAAAATTTGTTAAATTAGAATTTAACTCATCAAAAGTACGTGATGAAATTTTCGCTAAAGGTTATATGATGATCAATTATTTGAAGTATGAGGTGAAAGAATATTTACCACAAGCATCTATACTGCTCTGCTCCAACTGTATGAGATTGGGGCACTTCAGAAAACAATGCAAACAAACTACTATCGGAATTTTAAAAGAAGGCCGGTGGAAAAAAAGCTTATAACTTTCGAACGAAAAGTCATAGCGACCTGCGGTTTTCAGCAATCGATAGAAGATTATAGGGGACACATTTTTATATAAAAAGCAAGGTTTAAATAATCAGTGATTGTGGAATTACTGAAAGAGTAGGCTCGTTATTTGGTGAAATCTCAGCAGAACAAGCTGAAACTTTCAGCATATATAGCCCCACTATAGCCCAATCTTCCCTAAAAATATCATCGATAAATCTTATAATGACAAAGAATGGTGAGCCAATCATCATCTGATCTTACACAAGGCTCTCATTCACTCAATATATTAGGAAATGGTCTCAACTTTTGGCTGAATAAATACCATAATCTAGACTTCATATCTATGTAATAGCATTGTACTTTGATCGTAGAAATATACGGAAATAGCCAAAATTCGACGAAGAAATGATTTTCATACAGTAAGTATTTTAAAACAAATCTTCCCAACTTTCTCAAGAGAAATGCAGAGCTTAGTAATATTTTCACTGTCTGTTCTCGTTCATATAATCAAACTATGATATAATTGCATAGATATGAAGTCTAGATTATGGTATTTATTCAGCCAAAAGTTGAGACCATTTCCTAATATATTGATTGAATGGGTGCCTTATGTAAGACCAGATGATGATTGGCTCACCATTCCTCGTCATTACAAGATTTATCGATGATATTCTCAGCGAAGATTGGGGTACAGTGGGACTATATATGCTGAAAGTTTCAGCTTGTTCTGCTGAGATTTCACCAGATAATTAGCCTATTCTTTCAGTGACTGCATAATCACTGATTATTTAAACCTTGATTTTTATATAAAAATGTGCCCCCTATAATCTTCTATCGATTGCTGAAAACCGCAGGTCGCTATGACTTTTCGTTCGAAAGTTATAAGCTTTTTTTCCAGGTGCCTTCTTTTAAAATTCCGATAGTAGTAATTGGAACAAATACGAGTGTTGAAATTAGGTGAGTTTTAAACAAAGTCAAATTTTATCTCTTAGTATTTATAGATTTATTCATATGAATCATATTCTCACAAAAAAGCCTACTAAACCACATTTGTCTAATAAATCGATGTTTTGTTATTTTTAAATATTTGCTTCACATCATACTACATTTTGCTTTTTCGATCCACGACAATTTACAAGACACATCATTGTTTGTTATTTCAAGCAGAGTAAACTATGAAACAGATGATAAGTGAAAGAGAATTCATGAATGATGAAAGGATAAATAACGACGTGATAGTATTTGTGTCAAAGAAACGTTTGAATGATTTTTAGTCAAAAAGAATCATATTCAATGGTCTTTATGCAAGTGCTCTGGAATACTTCTTTGAAAAAAAATAAGATATAACTCCATAATTAGAAAATAGATGCTTATTTTCTGTCAAGATAAATAAAGTATTACAAGTTCTTTTAAATAGCTATGCTTTTGTTCACATCTCATACATTGGTTCGTTTTTGATTGAGTCCATTAAATATTTAGTTCGAGACAAGATATAAGATTAAGTAATTTAACTATATCAAGTATTATAAATCGTATATGAGAGATTCAATATTCTGAAATAAATTTAATATAATTATCGATAAAAATTTTGTAGTATTTTTTTTACCAACAATTATATTGAGAAAAAATAATGTCTAAAAAAGTTAACTCAAAACTCTTCAAGCCAATGGCATCAAATTATTCAAAGAAAAATGAATTATCAGTCTATTCCTTACCTGATTATGGTGAAATTACGCACTTGTTCTGTTTTATTTTTTCTTCCATTTTCTACTTTTATTATTGTTTATAATAGTATGGTATGTTGTATTTTAAATGTTCGTAGTGGTCGTTATTTACTAAAAAAAACCTAATTTCTACAAAAGAAAATCATGAAATCGGACATATTTTATTTTAATTCTACAATTAATTCCATTGATTATAAGCTTTCAACAAAAAATTCTTATTATAATTTTTCTTCAACAAGTTTGTCCAACGAAAATAAATGAAGATGAATTAACTGATGATATATTAAATGTTTTAAAATCATATACAGATAGTTAATCAAATGAATTTTATATAAAAACAAATTTAAATTTATTTAGTACAAACTAGGGTGTGAATATGGGCGGCATCTGTTCTACATTTCCAAAGCCATGTCCTACGATCATGAAATTCAAGTGAAAGAAAACAATAATTTTGAAATTGTTCAAGACAATTAAAGCAAAATATAAGTTTGTAATAAAATACGTCAAATGGTCAAGATATAGTTTAACGAATGGTTCGTAATGTGAGAATGAAATGCTAGCTAGGGTGGGTGTGGATGTGGCGGTTTTGAGCATTTCATCATCCACACCACATGTTCCACTCTATTATTTTTTTGATACAATAGCATTGACAAAGTTGTATTCATTGACGATAATAAGATTATTTGTACATGTTTTTCAAGTGTGCATGTGAGGATGTGAGCCGTCTATTTCTACTCGTTTACACCCACATGCACACGCCCACACCCTCACATGAATATCCTCAATGACATACATGCAGCAAAGACTACATGTTAATTTGCTCTTGTTTGGTTATTTTTCTTACATTTTTAATCGTGTATGTCATTTGAACAATGTCTATAAGCAATGAAACTCATCATTGCAGATCAATCTCTGAATTCATATCAATTTTTGCAATCCATTCAAATTTTTGTTATACTGAAAGAGTAAGTAATTCCTTTGATAAAACGCTCTTTGCAGTTCATGTTTCTGTCGAAAACCATTTAAATAGGTTATCCATAGAGAAATAGAAAGAGCGAGTAGAATACAAGAAATACATAAACAGTCATCAAAACAGATCATCATTGAACTTTGAGATATTAGTAGCATTGTTTTCCTGCTGTTTAACAACGATTGTTCATTACTGGCCATCGATATTGAAAAGGTTAAACAACAATATGCTGATTTCGAATCATCATAAGATCAATTTTCAATCAGCATTTCTTGATACTCGGTCAGCGTCCTTTTCAACACTGAAAATTCGTTTATAGATACTCTTCAAAACTGTTGAGTTACATAGATGAAGGATATTTTTGTTATTACGTCATCTGGCAGCTATCTCAATATTTCTAACCATTTTTTGGCTATATTATCAGTAGAAAAAAGATATATATGCTTTTGCAGATCGATAGTGACTAACGCAAACAAATAGGTAACAGATGCAAGCAAGATAACATAGGGCTACCTTGTGTTTGTGCAGATCTGTGACACACAAAAAAGTAATATTTACTCTGTGAAGGACATATGATATTCTGTTTCGTTTTGTCATTGAAGAATGAGTCAGCATACGAAAAAACTAAGTCACTTCTGTCTTTATCACAGTCTTGCGGTATTACTCAGAAAAAGTGTTGGTGAAAGTGCAAAACGTATATCTTCTTCTATCTAATATTTGTCGCTAATCGTTCCGTATAAATAATCTCCTCTTCGAAACGTTATGACCAACGAAAATAAAGAACAAGTAATTTCGACTGATATAAATGAATCGTCTCTCACAATACCTAGAACGTTGAACCCATCACGCAAAAATTCGGTCATTTCTTTCCGGCATCGCACAGCATCTATTACTAAAATAAATCCATCTGTATCAAAACCATCTATAATATATTTTCTCTCTCTTGTCTATGCTTACTTATGTATTGGGTTTGGAACAGGCGTTATGGCGTCAACATTATTGAAACTGGGTGAACAAACAAATATTACGGTTGAGCAGCTAGCCAGTATAGTTATTAGTCGTGCATGTGGCTCATTGAGTGGTACAACACTTGCTGGGATGCTCATTGATCGATTTCATGATTTTGGTAACACGTTTTTAGCGACAGCACTTTTTATTATGAGTGCAGTAACATTTTTGATTCCATTTAGTTATCGATTGATCCTGTTACTTCCTTTGCAATTGGGATGGGGCTTATCATCCGGCAGCGTGGAGAATCTAACCCAAGTTTTGACAATAAGATATTATTCGCATCATAATGTCGGTCCGTATTTGCAAGCTTTACACAGTGCATATGGTATCGGAGCTTTCGTCTCACCACTTATCGTGGCTCAGTTCGTATCCGAACGACAAGACAAGAATAAATGGCATTATGCGTATTTTGTTATTTTTCTTCTACATCTGCCCG